TGCACTTTGGTTCCCAAAGTTGGGCTTGAGACCCAATTATGGGTCATGAAGCACCTTGGATAATCTCCAGAAATCAATTTAAAGGATAATACAATAATTGCAGATGTAATATTTTCCCTATAATTATTACAAAAACACAAAATAAGTATAAATAAGTATTTATATTTGTGTACAAGCTGTTTAGATTGTCAAAAGGCCTGTGTTTTTAGGGTTATTAACGAAGTTCGTGTACTCAGACCAGTAATATTTGGGGTCACAAGTTTTTTTCCATGGATATTTTGTGGGTCAGAAGATAAAAAGTTTGGGAACCACTKCTCTAAACTGTCCCTAGATGTGAGTGAGAGACTGAATTTGTCTCGTTTGTCTCTATGTGTCCCTTTGATGGACTGGAGACCAGTCCAGGGTRTACCCCRCCCYTCACACTGTGTCTGCTGGATATGGGCAGTGACCCTGAAAGGAAGAAGTGTGTACAGAAAACGGATGGATGGAGATAAAAGTGAAAATTACCTCATTCTTCAATTTGCTACCTGAAAATCTGCAACAAAAACAAAACAGATTTGAAAACAAATTTAAAAGAGAAAAGTTTTTGCTTCAAATCGATGACAGACTATAAAAAGAAAATGCCCACACAGTTAAGAGGATTCACCAGAAATCTAATATCTATATTGTGATATTTACCTGGTCAAACCTTTACCAGAATACACTGAGTGGTAATAGGTGCTGCTCTCTTTGATGCCAATTCCATAATAATGGTATCTGTTAAAATGATATGATGTTAAAAAGATTTGAAATCGAAACTGTTATTTTGTCCTGTTATGTTTTTTTTTTTTTTACTTGGAGTGTCCTCTGGTGCCAAGYCTTCTTGTTGTGAGAAGAGGAAACTTCTGTCGGATCGTCTGAGAGAACAGGAGGCGGAAAGTCAATTTGTACGTATTAATAAAGAAACAGCAGCAAAAAACAGAACCAGGTGGTTTCTCTGTGATGTAAGACTGTATTCATGCTGATTTGTTTTTGCTAACATATTGACATTTTTATGTCAGTTTGAACATGAGACATTCTCACATTCAACCCAACTCTTTTTCATTTGTGACTAAATCAGTCTGAATGATCATGTCATGGASGACTGCGACCAGTTATACATCGGGGAAACAAAGCAGCCACTGTTCAAAAGAATGTCCCAACACAGACGAGCTACATCTAATGGCCAGAACTCTGCAGTTTTCACTCATTTACAGGCCAGCGGTCACTCTTTCAGAGATGAGGATGTTCTCATTCTTGATAGAGAGGAACGTTGGTTTGAGAGGAGTAAAAGAAGCCATTTTTGTGAAGAAAGACCGTCCATCATTAAACAGAGGTGGAGGCCTCCGTTTTCAGTTGTCCCCCTCCTACAGTGCTGCTATTGCCAGTATCACTCCACCCCTGTTAACAATAAGTAATTAGGTGTCAATGATAGCCATGTGATGCGAGTATCAGTCACATGGAGGCAGGGCTTAAAAGCCTGAATTTWGCCTGAAACTCTCAGACTGAAGAAGTCTCTTGGAGGAGAGACGAAACGTTTCATTAGAGAAGAACCCGTCCAGAAGACCTATACAATTTTTTTCTTTTACAACGTCATGCAGATTAAAGCTTATAACTCTAGTTGTTTCGTTGTTGTTTTATTTGTTTAAGTTGTCATGTACTCCATATTATGTGAAAAGTCTGATTTGAGTAAAACAAACCAGAACTGAGCCTTAAGACCTGCGGTGTGAGCCGTCTTATGCATAAAAAACCCAACAGATGTGACCAAACTAACCCACCTTTCCAAAGGTAGCAGCGCAGGCCGGGTCCAGGTTCTCTTTCCTGCAGAAGTCCAGATAGTGAGCGTAGAGGATACACCGAGGCAAACACACTCCTTCACACACAGTGTAGTTCTCCTCAAGCCTGTTGAGACACAATCATCACAACTTTGTGCAAAAACATTATCGTCCACCTTCTCAGTCTGACGGTRGACGATAGAAATTACATTTTGAGGGTTTAAACTATCAGGAAACACTAAAAATCTCTCCAGTTTAATCTACTGKATCTTTACAGCAACAGCAGATAAAGGTGTTCCTCAGGGATCTTTATTCAGCCCACTATGTATTCTAAATAAGTATATTTATTTACCACTGCAGAGTGAGCTGCGTTTGTCTCTTCTTGTCCTTGATGGTCTGACTGCTGGTCCTCCTGGAGGAACCGATGCTTTGTTTCATGGTCGAGTCTGAGTTCAGGTCCACCGGGTCAGGATCATCTTCAGACGACGGTGTCTCGTTGCTGTCTTCTGTTTGGAATAAACACAAACGCAGCTGTGCTTTCTGGTTTTATAAACATAAATAATAACAATAAATATTCAAAAATCGTGTACATTTAAAGCACAAACCCAGTTTGTAGAAAGATTTATCCATTTTAATAACAGGTTAAAGTGTATTTTCTTTGCTTCCTTTTTAGAGGGACTTTTTGCAAAGTATAAACTCAACAAAAACAGGTGTGAAAGAAAAAATTATATTATTGACTCCAACAAACCTTTGGTGTATTTKTGCTGACTGGAAAGAATATTTCATGCTTTTGAATTCAAAATATTGAGACTGTTTGCAAAAAGAGTGCTTTATTTTGTCTTCTGGATCATAAAACCTGATTGTTGTGACTTCTGTGGGTAATCAGGCGGACGTGACCCACAAGAGTGTGTGTTTCTGGATCTGTGTGGGTCTAAAAATCCTGATTGCTTAGCCTGAAGATCTGCAGCCCAATTTTACTCCTGTCTTTTAGACAATTAACTTAATTCTTCTTAAATATTTCTTTTTCAGTCTTCAACAAACATTAAAAAACAGTCAGAAAAAAAAACAGGAACAATGACACAAAAGCTTAAGAAGAAATATTGTGCTTGTTGCAAACTATTATTCGTCACCTAAATTAGTTCATTTCTGTGACGTTTGCAGAAATAAAGCTGACATTTCTTCCCTGATGGAGTATTTGACAAGTAATTCTCTCGTTTATTTCAGACTCAGCGTTTCTTCGTAAAATCTTCAGAGCCTCTTCGAGGTTTTTTTTTTCCTTTAAACTTTGCAGCTTTAATTTAATCGAAACGCTCACTCTGATTAGTTTTTGTTTATCTAACCTTGAAAGATGATTTGTGCCACGATTTATCCCTCGGCTCGAACCGTTTACCGGTTTGAGAAAACTGAAACAATAAACGTTAAAAGAAATGAACAAAACTGATCATTCTGTTTTCAAGTTTACTGAGTGAGCTCGGGACTTTTATTGTTCATCTTTAATAACTTCTGCTCAGTGGGAATTTTTTTTTTATTCTATCAACTGGAAATATTTCTAAATATTTTGTTTTTCGCTATTTTAGAACACAGAAAAAACACTTTAAATGACACAATTTTGATTTTCACAACCACTTTCTGAAGCATAACGTTATTGAAATAAGTAAATATCAAGGTATTTGAATTTCTTTACTATTTTCTTTGATTTTCAAGGCCTGTTTGTGAAGAATTTAATCTATTTAAGGATGTATCAATAWTTTTTGAAAGACAAAATGCTCAAAAACAACTCTACGTAACAAATTTATGAGGAGTCAACCTGTTTGTGGTAAATAAAATAAATAAGTATTATTAGTCATTTAGTGTGGTTGTAGCACCACCATGTGGTTGATTTCCATCACTGCTTATCTGACTTCCAATTAAACCTGTGCTTTCAGAAATCAAGGAAAGTTAAATCAGTTAAAGAGGAGTTTGACAGATGAGAAACCTGAGTTTAAGTTTGTCATTTTACCTGATTTAATCCCAGAATCATCTTCTTGAAGGAAGCGTGTTTGTCCTTTAAAATCTGAACACGTTATTTGAGGCGAGCCGCACAAAGCGTGACTGAAAAACACGTCGTCTCTGGCAGAAGTGTCGCCGCTGCGTTTCATCGGCATGATGGCTGAAAATCAGGACGACAGAATCAACCGAGCATTAAAAAAAAAAGAAAAGAAAAAAGTGAATAAGTTATATTCAGTGATCTGCTCCTTAAAGAGTCAGCTCAAAGAGATCTTGGAGCGCTGCCGTTTAATCCCAGCTTCACGCAGGTCCAGTCTATAAAAACCATCAGGTCCAGCATCTTGAAAAGCTGCGTTCAGGACGGAGAAAGTGGAAGAAAAGCTCTGAAGTCGGTGCTGCTGATGAAGCAGACAGGAGGAAGGCAGAACTAATGAAGCTGTAGATGCATTCATCATATTTACAGAAGACCGAGCTAATCCAGTTTATTAATGATTAACAGAAAAACCCTCATCCATCTGTCCATCCATGCATCAGATAAAACACACACACTTTGCTCTGACCCGCCTGAAAGGCTTCAACATCGTCGTCACACTTTCTACCCAAAGACTTTTTAACCAAATAAAACATTTATTTCACCTGAACCCAGAACTAAAGTGAAAAACATCGTTGAAAACTAAACACCTTATGCTTGTTCTTTTACTTTTTCCTCACTTTAGAAGAAGAATTTATGCTTTTTAACCTACTTCAAAAACTAAAATAATTATAAAAACAAATGTATGTAAAAAAAAAAAATAAAAAAGGGGCTAGATGTTATATTTCTGTGTAAACAATATAGTTATTTCTACTTTTGTTTAACCTAAATGATGCTAAAACTGGAATACTTCGCTTCAACCTGAATAAATACATTGAACGTCTTTTTAGAGATAATTAAATGAAAAACAGTTTATTTCACGATGAGCAATTAAAAAAATAAAAGCATTTTTTGTATTTTTAAACACAAGCAGTTCTGTGAAAAATCTCAAACACCAGAGTTGTAAAGTAACTAAGTATGTTTACTTTGTTGCTGTATTAAAGTAGAAATTTTGGTTATCTGTACTTTACTTGAGTAAAAAAGAAAAAAATTGTATAGGTCCTCTGGACGGGTTCTTCTCTAATGAAACGTTTCGTCTCTCCTCCAAGAGACTTCTTCAGTCTGAGAGTTTCAGGCTAAATTCATTTAGCCTGAAACTC